GAAATGGCTTACAATTGTAGAGTTCCAGGGCCCCAGTAGAAGAGAGTGAGCTTTTCCTGTGTGTCCATTATATTGGAAGAAGGCCACACCCTCAAGGAAGAATCTCTTTAATTGATTTATCATAGCCACTCATCATGCATGTACTAAGTTTCATCACCATAGGAATAAGCACATTTCAACTGCTAAACCTCTGGAAATCTTGGCCTAGTCAAGCTGACACAAAACCCTAACTTACACAGGCTGGGAATCTTCGTGGGAGCAGAAAGATTCATCTCTTTCTCACAGAGCAGCTCAAATCCCTAACCTTGAGTCCAGTGCTTATTCTACTGAACCATATATTGTTTTTGTTGTTAGGTACTACCAAGTTTGTACCAACTCATAGTGACTTTATACACAATAGAATGAAACATTGCTCGGCCCTGCTCCAACCTCACATTCATTTCTACATTTGAGCCCATTACTGCTGTCTCTGTACCAGACCTTCTCAGTGGCAGTCTTTCTCTTTTTCACTGATCCTCCACTTTACCAAGCATGATATCCATCTCTAGGGATTGATAATATGTCCGAAGTAAGAAAGACAAAATCTGGTTATCCTGGCTTCTAGGAACATTCCAGCTGCACTTACTTCTTCCAACACAGATTGATTTGTTATTTTGGCAGCCCATGGCACTTTCAATATTCTCCTCCAACACCATAACTCAAATGCATCAATTCACCTACGGTCTTCTTTATTCACTGTCCAACTTTCATATGCATATGAGGTTATTGAAAATATCTTGGCTTGAGTCAGGCACACTTTAGTCCTCAAATGACATCTTTGCTTAGAGATTTTTTGCAATAATACTAGTGAGGCATGCACACCATAGAATGATTAAATATTCAAGATCAAAAAGTAGCATTTGCCCAAGGACAAAGTTCAAAAGGACTGGGGAAGAAAAAGAAAAGGGAACAAGAAACACAGGAAGGAAATGTGACAAGTGATTCACTTATGGCTATGCAATGAAGAGTATGATTTGTTGAATGTAAAACTGAGGATCTGCTCTGTAAACCTTCACTCAATTCACAATTGTTGTTGTTGTTAAGTGCCGTCACAATAAAAAGTTAAAAAACAAACAAACAATAGAATAGAAACTGTTGGTGAAAAGCATCGTGACTATGTCCTTTGTTTCCCTTCAGGTCGGGTAATGAACTCACTGTCATAGCTCAATTTTCAACTAAACAATGTGGTTGTTTTTGTTAAATGCCTGTGAGAATACTGAATGGTTTAAAATTAAGGTGTGTGGCAGGGCTGTATTCTTTCACCATACTCTGTATGCTGAGCAAATAATCCGAGAAACTGTATATTAAGAAAAACGTGGCAGCAGGATTGGAGGAAGACTCATTAACAATCTGCAATATGCAGATGATATAACCTTGCTTGCTGAAAGTGAAGAAGACTTAAAGTGAAGAAGCCTTTGGTTTGGATTACATCTCAATGTAAAGAAAACAAAAATCCTCACCACTGGACCAATAAACAACATTCTTATCAATGGAGAAAAGATTGAAGTTGTCAAGGACTTCATTGTTCTTGTAACAACAATCAACACTCATGGAAGCAGCAGTCAAGAAATCAAACAATGTATTGCATTAGGCAAATATGCTGCACAAGACCTTTGTAAAGCGTTGAAGAGCAAAGACATCAGTTTGAGTACTAAGGTGCACCTGACCTTAGCCATGGTATTCTCAATAACCTCATATGCATGCTAAAGCTGGACAGTGAATAAGGAAGACCTTAGAAGAATTGATGATTTTGAGTTATGGTGTAAGAGGAGAATATTGAAAGTGCCATGGGCTGCCAGAAGAACAAACAGATCTGTGTTGGAAGGAAGTGCAGCCAGAGTACTCCTTGGAGGCCAGGATGGCCAAACTTCATCTCTCATACTGCACACTTATTGTCAGGAGGGACCAGTCACTGGAGAAGGATATCATGTTTGGTAAGGTGCAGAGTCAGAGAACAAGAGGAAGACCCCAAGCGAGATGGATTGGCAATATGGCAGCATCAGTAGGCATCAGCATCAATTGTGAGTTTGGACCAGGAGCAGGCAATGTTTCATTCTGTTATGAATAGGGTCACTATGAGTCAGTACTGACATGATGGCACCTAACAACAACAACAACAACAACAACAACATTTCTGTTATGTCTCACAGAGACCCTATATACAACATTATGAAACACAGCTCAGTCGTGTGTCAGCCTCACAACTGTTATGCTTGTGTACTGCCACGGTGTCAATCATCTCCTTGGGGATACTCCATTTTTATGTTGACTCTTCACTTACTAAGCATCATATGCTTCTACAGGGAGTGGAACTTCCTGACAGCATGTCTAAAGAACAAGAGGTGAAGTCTCACCATCTGTGCTTCGAAGTAGCGAGCATTCAGGCTGTACTTCTTCCAGCACCGATTTGTTTGTTCTTCTGACAGCCCATGGTACTTTCAATATTCTTTACCAACACCATGATTCAAATGCATCACTTCTTCTATGGTTTTCCTTATTGTTTGTCCAACTTTCAAATACATATGTAGCGATGGAAAATACCACAGCTTGGGTTAGGCCCACCTTAGTCCTCGAAGTGCCATCAATGCTCTTGGACATTTTAAAGAGGTCTTGCGCAGCAGATTTACCTAATGCAATATGTTGTTTGATTTTATTACTTCTGCTTCTGTGAGTGTTCACTGTGGATCCAAGCAAAATGAAGTCTTTAACAACTTCAATCTTTCTTTTCTCCATTAATAATCGTGTTCTTTATTGGTCCGGTTGTGAAGATTTTTGTTTTCTTTATATTGTGGTATAATCCATATTGAAGGTTGTAGTCTTTGATCATCACCATTGTCAGCATTTGTTGTTTTATTTTTTGTTTGAAAGTTGTTATCAGTGCTGGGGTAAGATGCATTCATTGTCTCTCCAATGACTAATGATCATGAATATTATTTCTTCATATTTTTGTTGGTCATCTGAATGTTTTCTTTGATGAAGTGTCTGTTCATGTCCATCGCCCATTTTTAAATTGGATCATTTGCCTTCTTTTTGAGGTGTTGAAATGTTCTATACATTTTAGAGAGTAGTCCCTCGTCTGATGTGTCATTGTCATTTTTTTCTCTTTTGGTGAAATATTTTGAAATCTATTTTGTCTTTTGCTGTTCTTGTTTTCATTTATGTTTGATAGTGTATAGATGCCTTGTACCTGAGCCCAGAGCCCCTAAGTTTGTCCCTGTTTTTTTGTTAATGATCTTTGTAGCTCTAGGCTTTGTATTTATATTTTAAAACCATGTTGTGTTTATTTTTTATATGGTATGAGATATATGGGTCTTGTTTCATTCTTCTGCTAATGAATTTTCAGTTTTGCCAACATCATCTGCTGAAAAGATTATGCTCCATTTTATGTGTTTTTGCCCTTTGTCAAAGATTCTGGGTTCTCAATTCTGTCCCATTGATCATTGTGTCTTTTCTTATAGTAGTATCAGGGTGCTTTGATTTCTCTAGCTGTACATTAGATTTGGGGGGCCTGGTGTGGCACTGTGGGTTAATGTGTCAGACTGCAAAGCCATTTGAACTTTGGTTGCTCCTTGGAAACCCTATACAGGGTCGTTATGGGTTGGCACTGACTTGATGTCACTTAACAACAACAACAACATCATATTAGATTTTGAGATCAGGAAGTGAGAGGCCACCTACTTTGTTCTTTTTTTAGTAATCTTTGCTTATCTGGCATCTCCTTACTTTCCATATAAAAGTTAGTGATTAGTTTTCACATCTCTTGAAAGAATGATGTTGGAATCTTTATGCATTCCATTAAATTTTTGTCTACTTCCAATTTTCCTAGATTCATGCTTTGACCATCCCAGGTTCCAGTTATTAATGGATGTTTGAAGCAGTTTCTTCTCATTTTGCATTTTGCCACATTAGCAAATGAAGGTCCTGAGAGCTTTGCTGGATTCAGATTATGGTCAATTCTAGTTTGAGGAGGCAACTCTTCCCTAGTTGTGTTATGAGTGCCTTCCAGACAGAGGTGCTTATCTTCTAGCACTATATTAGACACTGTTACACTGGTATTCATAAGGTTTTCAGCTAATCATTCAGAAATGGTTTGCCCCTCCTTCTTCCTAATCTGTTTTAGCCTGGATGCTCTGCTGAAATCTGCCCACCATTGGTATTTAAAATACCTGCTGGTATTTAAAACATCCATGGCAGAGCTTCTAGAATCACAGCAACATGCAAATCATAACATATGATAAGTTGGCAGACCAGTGGTAGATATGAATAATAGATAGGTCTATAAAGGGAACAATAGCACTATACCTTACAACAGTAACACACACCATAGAATATTAAACCATGTAAGATAAAAGGGGCAGCATTTACCCAAGGGCAAACTTCAGATTGGTTAGGAAAGAAGGAGAAATGGAAATATGAAATATAGGGAGGAAGTTGGATAAGCAATATTGCATTATGTGAATTGCAATCAATGACATGAAACAAAATGTGTTTAAATAGTTGAAAGGAAAACTGATTACCTTTTTAATCTTCCCCCAATTCACAATAAAAAAGTTAAAAATAAATAAAATAAAATAGCACATAGAAACTTTAAAAAAGAAAGAAAAACAGGACAGGCTTAATGTTTTTACCTACTGAAGATTTTGGTGAACACTTTCTAGCACTAATATGTATTTTAAATCTTTAATCTTTACTAATTCCTTGAGAATAATTCTTATTGTGTTCTACTAGTTAATAAACCCCAGATACTTCATAAAGATACGAGAAGTAATTGTTTCCCTAATCTCCTCACATCCTCACGTTGGTGAAGAGTTCAATAAATGTCAGTGTGTGAATAAATAATCCTTTACAGAATTTATATCGGAGCTGGTTTAAGCTTCCCTCCCCACCTTTTATTAATGTATTGTGATAGTCTCTCTTTTCTCTCCTCTGAGACATTGCTCAATGTCCTTTTAACTTGTCAGGTCAATGGGAAGGATCTTTCAATGGCCACTCATGAAGAAGCAGTGGAAGCTTTCCGAAATGCCAAGGAGCCCATTGTCGTTCAGGTGTTAAGGCGAACTCCACTCAGTAAACCCATCTATGGAATGGCCCCGGAAGTGCAGCTCATGAATGCCAGCACTCAGACAGACATCACATTTGAACACATCATGGCCCTGGCCAAGCTCAGGCCTACTACCCCTCCAGTGCCAGACGTCTGCCCATTCCTGCTCTCCGACAGGTATGCTTCTGTCATTTTTTTCTGAAGCCCTATTTGTTTTCATTAGTTGGTTAAAGTGTGTGTTGGAAAGAATCAGTCACACTAGCAAGTTGGCAATTATGGAGGCAGGCTCCCAGTTCTGTGTGAAAAATGTCTCTGCTGTGTCTACATCCAATTACTTTTTAGCTGTCATTGCTAGCTACTCTCTCTGACCCACGCAATGGCTTCACCTCAGCAATCATCCTTGCCAAGAGGTACATTGAAAAATTCTGACTCTGATTAGTTCATCTTCATATCCAGTCATCAAAGGCCTCATGCTACTCAGGAACTCTGGTCAGGGAAATAGCTTCTCTCACCAGAGCTGCCAAAACCTTATTAAGACTCACATAGCAGTGGCATGCTGGCACCACATTCTCCTCTGTGGGTCACCCCTTACTCCCTCTTGCTTTTCTCTTCTTTAAAGGAGAAGCTGGGAATTAATTTAATTAAAGTACAATTCTCTAAAGAAAGCAATTGCCGAATATATTGAGATGTAAACAGAAAGTCTCAGCTGTCACAGGGTAGTATAGCAGTATGAAATAAAGAGCTGTTAAAGATGTGTTTCTTCCCATTTTTATAAATTAAAGTAATATTCAATGTTTACCAAATAAATAAACACTCAAATAATCCTAATCCAAACTTGTACGATCTTGAAAGTGTGTGTTGCCACTCTTACGTTTTGTTCTGGGAACTGTTAAGCCAAACTTTAAAGATGATTGAGAGTTTGAGTTATAAGAATAGTAATCTCTTAAAGCTGTATTTCCATTGTCCACTCCAATATTCCCCACTTTGCAAAACGCAGGTTTGCTAACGCCATTTCCCTGCCCTTCAGAGACTTCTGTAAGCTTATTTTCATGATTTATAGGTGTACATTAGAATCAACCGAAACTTTAAAAAGCCATATTACTGGTAGAATCGCACTTCAGACCAATGAAATAAAAATCCTTAGGATTGGGTCAGGCATTAGATTTTTCTAAAATCTCTCCAGGCAATTCTAATGTGTTTTAGGAACCAGTTTCTGAGACATCAAGTTCCAGCAGAGTAGGAACTCTAGTGTCTAATTCATCCCTCTATTCATTTATCCAATGCTTACTAAATCACCACTTGGGTCAGGCACTGGAACCAACTGCTGAATATAACACTATTGTCAAAACTTTGAAAAGTCAGTGCCTGATAGAATTTATAATCTTTGGAATGGTGGAAAAAGCAATACTAAGCAAGCAAGCTATTAGTACAACCTAATATAGTTGTCACCCAATAAATACTTTCAGATGAATGGTAGTGTTGATGTTGTCGTGTGCCCTTCAGTCAGTTCTGACTCATAGTGACCCTGCATAGGGTTTCTGAGGAGCAGCTGTAGCATTTGAACCACCGACCAAGAGGTTCAAAGTCCAGAACTTATCCTATAGTGCCACACAATAATAATGGATGTTTATTAACAATATATTTTATGTAATATTCCAAGTGTTTTACACTTATTATCTCACTTGAATGTATGAGAGAGTGCATCATTCTATTATGACCCATTATGACCTATTATGACCTATTATAACAGATAAGGAAAGTGATGTTAAGTAACAAGGTCAAGGTTCATATAGCAAAGAAATGCCTGAGCCAGGCTTCTGAGTCTGAGGTCTGACCTGGGCTCACTCCCCAAAACTAAGATCCTGTACTGAAACCTCTACCTAAAATAAATCTTGCTGACCTTAGCTTAGAGACAATCTCTTCTGAAAAACTTGTAAGTGCTGCAGTAGGTACCAACCCTATGTGCTTTCATTTTCCTCTTAATTTTTGCATTATATCAAAACCTCTACTCTGTTGCTACACCAATTTGATAGGGCAAGAATTGTATTGCACACTACCATATCTCCAGCACTCAGCACAGTGCTGGGTATCTGGGTATCTGTTTACATTGTTGTTACGTGCTGCCAAGGTGATTTTGACTCAGTGTGGTACTATGAGACAGTAGATATGCCCCATAGAATTTTCTTGGCTGTAATCTTAATGGAAGTGAATCACCAGACTTTTCTCCTTTGGAGCCTCTGTGTGGGTTCAAACTGCCAACCTTTCAGTGAGTAGCCAAGCCCTGGTAGCGCAGTAGTTAAGCATTTGGCTGCTCTGAAAAGAAAAGATTAGCAACTTTAGGTGAAACAAATACTTCTGGCTGGACTAATTTTGGTCAGAAACTTGTTTGCATATTTGGTGTGTAGCTAAGAAAACCTTCATAACAAAGTAAGATGTCTGTTATTAATTTCCCTATATAACAGCACCCAATAAATGTTCATTGAATGAATGAAGTTTTCTTCATGGCAGAACTCCCTTCTAACTATCTGAGAAACCTAGGGAGCACACCCAGAAGCCCCAAAAGAGTGAACTTTGATGCTCTGCCAGCTTGAATGGGCTTTGTAATCTGTCTACATGTAAGCAAGCTGGATACTGCCTGCATTGTCTTGGCTATTCCAGTCTCCCCTGGCTGACCCTGTGTGGAGAAGACAGCCATAGATGACATGTGATGAACTTGGCAGAGCATCTATGTTGACCATTTAAAGGCTTGATTACCCTTGCTTTATGGGTAGTCAAAAGGAAACCCATATATACTACAAATACCAATTTGCAATAATATTCATACTGGCAGGGCTTGGTGGTCTCAAATCTACAATGAACTTACAACACTCAGATTTTTAAACTGTTATTTAGAATCAGAGTTATCTTTATGCCCTTAGTTGTTAATGCTCAACTATTAAGCTGAAAGATTGGTTTCAAAGTCTCCTTACAGACAGGCTTCGGAAAGGTCACAGCCTGTTCTGCACACTTGGTCACTGTGAGTCTGAAATGACTAGCTGGTAACTAACAATAGCAAAGCCTTCTTAAAGTAGAATGCCTAATATCTATCTTGTGGCACACAGTGAGTTGAAGAACCTTTATATATAATATTTAAAACATTTTCCAAAAGTTAAAGTATACATAAAATTCATATCAGATGTCCTGGATCCTCTTCCAGTTCTTGAATTAAGCAGCATTCTCTTTGACTGGAAAATTTCTAAAGGAATAATAGAATTCAATAACTTTCAACAAAACTAGTTTGAGGCTGTGTATTATGAAATTGATAGCACTTTGTTACAAAGTAGCCCCCTTTGAGTAGACTGTAGTCTGAAGTGCCACATACCCATGTAGGGAGCTACTTGCATTTGGTGGAGTAGAAACAGGCCAAAGAGAGCATCAATGAAGCACCAGGCCTTTCAAAGATCTCATTTCAGTGTCTTCACAGAATGTAGCTCTGACCACGGGCCCTTACTCTTCCCAGGAAAAGCGAATGAATGGACTTCATGTAGGGCCAGAAGGAAAAGAGCTCATTCTGTGCTGTAGTTCCCTTTAACGCTGGTGCCCAACAGGTCTTATTCCAAACCAGAGGAAACTAAAGCTAAATTCTAAAATCTGTTTTAATATTGAAAACAACCCTTCTGATCCTATCATATTGCTACCTTCCCCATAGCTGCCATTCTCTTCATCCAATGGAGCATGAATTTTATGAGGACAATGAATACCTTTCCAGGCTGCCTGCTGAAGCAGACAGAATAGAGGACTTTGAATATGAGGTAAGATCATTTTCACACCACTTCACATTTCTTCATAAAGTAATGGTTGAGAAATTTTGCCTAACAAAGAAAAAATTAATTTATTACTGCCAGAATTAGCCTGGCAATTATGTACGTAAGGTAAGATCTTTTAAATATTAATTGTTTTAGCTATCTGGCTTTAGTATTTTAAATGTACTAGAAAAATATTTTTATAATGTAAGCATTGAAAATAAGTTTTGCACATATTTGTGGCATTTTACAAATAGTATTGTAGCAACTTCATATTTCTGTAGTTCAAAAGCGTGTCTGACTAGTTTGGAAAGGGAATTGTATTTTATATTTATATTATATTTAAAACTAAAATGATGTTAACTATTTTCATTCATTATATAATACTTTGTGTGGATTAATCAATTTGTGTGATATTATTTGTGTTGTTGTTGTTGTTAAGTGCCTTCAAGTGAGTTCTGACTCACAACAATCCTGTATATGATTTCCAAGAAGCATCTGGTAAACTTGAACCAATGACCTTACGGTTCAAACCAACCTTGCAGACCAGTGCATTAACCCATTGTTGTTGTTGTTAAGTGCTGTTGAATTGATTCCAACCCATAGCAACCCTGTATAGGGTTCCCAAGGAGCAGCTGGTGAACTTGAACCGCCGACCTTGCAGTTCAAACTGCCGTGTAGTCTGGTTAATGCCGTGTAGTCTAGCATTAACCCACAGTGCTAGACCCATTACCCTGTCCAAATTCACTATTGTATTTAATTGTGCTTTGGATACGTACTCTGAAGAACGGTTTCACTGACTTCCTAGAAACAGAGATGGGCCCATGCCCTTTGGTGTTAAACTATGTTTCATCTTCTTATGGCATAATGTTAGAATATCTGTACTTTGATATGTAACAATTCAAAAAGCCCATATATTAATTATTTAAAAGCTTTCACAAAAGTTAAAGGATTTATCCTAACATTTCCTCTGCTTCTGCAGTCTATAAATCTTTGAAAGGTTTCAAACTACCCTGACATTTGAAATAAAATAGATTGAGGAGGGATAGAAGCTTTAGTAAACAGGCAGAGAACCCATGATTATCTGCCCTTTTAATGCTTTAGATGATGTCATACAAGTTCAGCAAAGTGTTCTTTTCCATTTTACAACCAGGAAATCCTGAAATCTCTACCTTTAGGAGGATCTAAAATCAAATAAGGCCAATTCAGTGAAGCTCACCTAAAGCAAATAGATGTTTATTTGAAATCTTCCCCCCACCAAAAGTCATTGCTGAGGATTACCGAAATCATTATTTCTTCTCAGCCAGAATTTGGAGGGATGTGCAATGGCATCTAGTATCTGAGTCAATATTATTTTGTTTTGGTTTTGTATAAATTATTGTTGTTAATTTTTTATCCCAACCTCTCCATTAATTTAACTGAAATTATAATTTGAGTATTAGTGTACTCAAGTATTAGTATGTACTGAAACATCTGTTAAGTTTTGTCTATTCATACAAAATGAATTACAAAATTAAAATGTGTTTTCTTTTCCATTAATGAATACTGTGTTTGGGAACTGAAGTTATCTAGATCACTTTCGCTTTTCAAGAAATTTGTGTCTTAAAGATTTACTAAATATAGTCTGTGTGCTGGGGAAAACATGGTAAGGAAACTTGTTCACGCTATGCAGGTTAACAGGAAAATCCTATAATTGGTCAGCACATCATTAAAATATTATAACACAGGGAGCGTAGGTTGCCTTTCTAGAGAGCTTACTATAGTTGAAGCCAATATCAGTCCCTAATAGAAGAGCGAGCCATCAGTATGATGACAGTGGTAAATGCTCAGACAGGTTCTTTGTAGCCTGTAATCTCAACTAATCACAGCATCATAGTCATTAATTTTCTGTCATCTGCAAGTCTGTTGCCTAAGGCACCTTTCTGAATGATTGAAATAAAGACTGTTCCTGGGAAATGTAAATAGGGAAGGAGTTACTGCAACACACTTCAATCATGAGAAAGGATGCATTTGAGAGCATCTTGCTGGTTAAATGTAGGAGTGGAGGCATGAGGAATATCCCAAGGGTACTTCCCCAAATTTAGGAGAGAATAATGTTTCTATCCATTATGCCTCAGATCTGTATCAGATCAATGTATAAAATGTAGTCAGTCCAATGCACTCACCTGAATCAATTATGGAAAGTATATTACATGGTGAGATTCAGGAATGTTAATCCTAGCTATGTATTACTACACCTAGAAGTAAGCGATCAAATGTTTCTATGACCAACTGAAAGGACCCCAGCTGCTCAGAGACTTAGTCATGACCCATTCCCTACAGGGATGGGATCAATGAGTAAGTAGACCCAACAGACCAAAGTAGATGTGACTATCTTGTAACTACTTATTTAGGGAGTTTTTAACATGCAAATTACTGCATTGAAAGACTGTAACTGCTCCCTTCAGGGCCATGATAGATAGCAAATGTTTCTTTGGAGACAGCCTAGTCAATGTGTCAATGTTCTGGTGACTCTGGATGTGTTCGGGATCTCTATGAAATTTTAATGACAACCATATCTCACCATGATGTATTACCACTTTTCCTAAGAAAATTATTTGAATGTGCTTAAAATTTCCCCACAGTGCTTCAGAAAAGTCTCAAAGGACCATCCTGCATTAAAAGACTCACAGCTTGAAATTTGTTCTTCTTTAAAAAAATGGCAGCATTTGCTTACTAATTAAAAATGATAAAGGATTTTAATTTTATTTTTGAGAATAAAATAAAAATAGAAAACTTTAAGCAGTACACCCATCAAATGAGTCAGGGTGATCAATGCTGCTAGAATATCACAACTGAAGGTTAAGCCAGTTTTATTTATTTTCAATTTTTCCCATTTGTTTTCCCCCTTGGAGCCAACAAGATGTTGAAATAAGTCAAAAATAGCCCTTAGCAAGTCAGAGGAAGGTCTCCTCTTCTACTAGGGATAATCTAAAAGGAAAGACTTTGAGAAATATAAAAGTCTTTCATCAAGTTTCTAATAAAGGTATGTTTGCTACTATGCTGCACCGCAAGAGCAGTTTGAGCCACAAGGTCAGCAGTTCAAACTCACTAGCTGCTCCACCGAAACCCTATACAGGGGCTCTATGAGTCAGAACCGACTCAACAGCACTTTACAGCAACAATAGCAGGTGCAGGGAAGATGCTGAATTTGCTAAAGCATCTGCAATTAACTCTTAAATGTCCTTGCTGCTAGAGGAGCATCTGAGTACTATTAAGTGCAAAGTATTAATAGTTTAAAACATAATTTAGCTAGACTTTTATCACTTACCAGTGCTACTTGAAACATTTTTTTTCTCTTCTCCCTATGAGCAAGCTCAAGTAACATCTAACAACCTGAATACAGTATGCATGTTATTGCTGTTAAGTGCCAAGGAGTCGGTTCTGACTCATAACAACCCTGTATAGTGTTTCCAAGGAGCAGCTGGTGAGCTTAAACCACTGACCCTGTGGTTCAAACTGACTTTGCAGTCCAACACCTTAACCCACAGTTCCACACCAGGACTCCTATAGCATGCATGGAGTTCCCTGTATACTTGTATTTATATTGTCATAGAGATGTAAGCAAAAAGGAATTGAGAAGCTTGCTTGAAGAGGTATTAAAGATGGAGAGGAAAGAAGGACTAGGATGCATCAGTGTTTTGTGTTTGTATAGACAAACTAGGGCCAGTGTCTGTAAATAGGTCCACATTTAGCATATTAATTACCTTCCTCTTGGCAATTCCTATGCAAAGCACAAGTAAACCTGTGTGTTTTACTAGGAATTGTCATTCAGTTAAATGTATTTCCCATAGCTAGTTTGATGCAAGTATGTGCAGAATGTTTGAATCTCTTACTCACACAGTTAAAAGAGTAGAGAATTGTGAATCTGGGAAAACGCTATTCAGAAAGCCAAATAACAAAAACAAGGATAAGCATCAGCTAGATTTTTGTCACATCTTTTTGAGCAACTTGATTTGTGATGCCAGTGTTGAGAAAAGTGTGTGGAGTCCCTGTAGGCTGTGAGGGCAGAGGCCAGGTTGGTCTTGTTTATCATTGCATCCCATCACCTGTCTCAGAGTGGGTGCTCAACAAAGACTTAATGAATGAGTCAATAAGGGTTCTCATTGCTCTCTGAGTGGACCAGCATCCCCTGCGGTGTCCCATCACAGCTCTCCAGTTAAACAGATGGACTGGGACCACCATGAATTACATGCAGTTTCTATCAGAAGTCAGAGCTGCTAATCCTACTGCCCTGTTACTTAAAGCAAAATACTTTAAAAGACAAGGTCAAAGTGGAGGGTGGGGGAAGAATAGGCAAAATGGATAAGAATTTTAAAGGTCTCCATAAAAATGTATCACTATTGACCATTTTTATAAATCCATAGAAGCTCTCATACCAAAATCAAAGCAACAACAACAAAAAACCTCACTGCCAAGAGTTGTTCTCAATAGAAGGGACAAAAAGACTGCACAGAGAGGTAGAGAAGTGGAGAACAAAAAAGATGGCTGATACGGTAGAAGTGCAAGGAGCAACAACAGAATACTGGACCAAGCCAGCTGAGGGGATGGTCCCAGAACTCTGAACTACATATAGAGGAATATTTACAAATATAATAAATCAAAGATAAGGACAGACTCCTGAAAGCAGCTAGGGAAAAGATAAGTATAACATACAAAGGCAAGTAAATCAGATTAAGTTTGGATCTCTCAACAGAAACCATGTAGGCAAGAAGGCAATGGGGAGACATATATAAAACCCTGAAAGAAAAAAACCTGCCAACCAAGAATCCTCGACCCAGCAAAGCTTCAATCAAATATGAAGGTGTAATCAAAACATTCTAGGATAAACATAAGCTAAGGGATTTTGCCAAAGCCAACCCTGTGATGAAAAACATCCTAAAGGGAGTTCTATGGGCTGAGAACAAACAAGGACAGACAACAACCAGAGATTGACATACGTGGCAGCATCACCCGGAACTCAATCGACA